ATAATTGTCGTCATTATTATTAGCATTATTATCATTATTATTATTATCATCAATATTATTCGCATTATTATTGTTACCATGTATATATGTGTGTGTGAGTGCATATGTGTGTATGTGTGTGTGCGTTTGCGCTACTGTGTGTGTGTGCGTGTGTTGCGTGTTCGTGTGTGTATGTACGCGTGTGTGTGTGTGAGTGTGTGTGTTGAATGGTTGTGTGTGTGTATGTGTGTGTGTGTCTGTATGTATGTATGCGTTGGCGTGTACGTGTGTGTATGTACGCGTGTGTGAAGTGTGTGTGAGTGTGTGCATGAATGCGTTTGTGTGTGTATGTGTTTGTGTGTGTGTGTGCTATGGCGTGTACCGCGTATGTGTGTGTATGTATGCGTTTGTGTGTGTATGTGTTTGTATGTGTGTATGCTATGGCGTGTACGTGTGTGTATGTACGCGTGTGTGAAGTGTGTGTGTGTGTGTGTGTATGTATGCGTTTGTGTGTGTATGTGTTTGTGTCTGTATGTATGTATGCGTTGGCGTGTACGTGTGTGTATGTACGCGTGTGTGAAGTGTGTGTATATATTTTTTCCCCGTATTTACGAAGCATGCTGATGAAATTCCGACGTGTGATCAAGGCATCAGAGACCTCGCCAGATATCCGTGTCACTGACTTAAAAAAAAAAAATGTCGATAGATTAATTAGAGTTTTGTGAGTGAAGGATACCTGATTAGGAAGGCCTTCGCTGGCTCTCCTGATCATCGGGGGGGGGGGCGAGAGGCTGGAGGATGAGAGCTTGGAGGACGAGAGGCTGGTGGAGGACGAGAAGGTGGGAAACAAGAGGCTGGAGGGAGAGATTGGAGGATGAGAAGCTGGAGGACGAGAGCTGAAGGACGAGAAGAGGATGAGAGGACGAGAAGGTGGGAGAGGCCTGACCAGGACGAGAGGTTGAGGACGAGAGGCTGAGAGAAGACGAGAGGTAAGAGGCTGAAGACGAGAGGCTGGAGAGAGAGGAGAGAGGGAAGACGAGAAGGTGGGAAACAAGAGGCTGGAGAAAGAGAGGACGAGAGCTGAGGAAGCTAAGGAAGCTGGAGGACGAGAGGCTGGAGAAAGGTTGGAGGACGAGAGGCTGGAGGATGAGAAGCTGGGGGACGAGAGGTTGAAGGAAGAGAGGTTGGAAGAAGAGAAATTGAAGGACGAGAGACTGAAGGAAGAGATGTTGGAGGAAGAGAGGCTGGAGGACCAAAATGAGAGAGAGAGAAAGAAAGAAAGAGAGAAGAGGACTGAGAGGGGGGGGTAGGGGGAAGGCAGAAAACGGAATATGAGGAACCAAGAAACTTAGAAGATGAGAAAAAGAGAGATAAAAGAAACGGAAGTAAAGAAGTGAATGGGAAATCAGCGAAGGAATAAGGAGGGGAAAAGTGGACCAATATTAATTCCAAGAAAATAAAAAATTAAAAGAAAATGAAAGAGAAGTTAATCCAATAAGAAAATCGACAGGGATGAAATCAAAGGAATAGAGTGGATAATGGAAAAGAAAAGAGAAAAGGAAAAACGAAAATGCAAGTAAGAAATGAATGAGAGAGACGATTGAAATTAGGAATGTAGAAGACGAAACAGAGGGAAAGGAAGGTTAGGAATGAAGCAAAGAAAAGAGGAAAGAAAGTGGAATGAAAGAGAAACAGTCGAAATAAGGAAGGAATTATGGTAAGAAAAGAATGAGAGGAATAGAAAGGTAAATGAGAGATAAAAAGGAATGTAAAAAAAAATTAGATGAAGAGAAGAAGAGACAGAGAAATTATGAATAAAGTAAAATTGATAAAGAGAAAGAGAGAAATACTTGTGTGACGAATGGAAGAAACGTGTAATAGATCAGAAATTGAATAAACAAATGAGTGGAAAAAGTTAAAGATCATAATAATAACATCAATATCATAAGAAAATAATTATCAAGCATCTTACCTTTGATCTCAACAAAACAATACATTAGTTTTTTGTTTGTTAATCAGAGATAAGAAAGAAGAAATTTCATATGATGTTGGCATAAGGTGGTCTCGTTTATTCGCATTTTTTTTTTCTGTGTTATTGTGGGAAAATAGTGAGTGAATTGCAAGATATTTATTCATGAACTCAGTAAAGTGAGAAAGAGAACAAAAAAAATGTTTTTAAAAAGTTTTGATATGAAGACTTCCGACCCCCAAAAAATATTGGAAAATATATGGGATTTCCAACTTCACAACTTTCATTTCCACCAAACTATATAAAAAAAATCTTTCAGATACTTTTCATGCGACGTTTTACCGATAGAAAATACGACAGCACAGAATCGCTTTCCTGGGGTTTGTCATGTGTTTTTTCTTCTTTTTCTTTTTTTCTTCTTCTTTGGCTCGTTCGTGTTTGTAGTGGCGGTTCAAAACATATATGTCCATTTCATTTTTGCCCAGTCTTTTTTAGTTTACTTGTCGCGTAGTTCCTTTAGCTCCAAAAGTCCATGTAAATGCTTTGTAGTTTTCATTTTTTTTCCCTTCCCAAGCTTTTGCAATGCCCTCTGATCTACACTAGTTATTTTTATCTTTCTTTTTTATACCTTTCTGCCTCTCTCACCCTCCAGGTCGCTGTTCCTTTATAAAACTCGATCCCTCGTCTCTCTCCCGCCCTGCCGTTGCATCGTCGTCACTCTGCAATATTGCTCGCTTCAGTTGACCAGCGTCGGGGCGGTGACGGAGAGTGAGCATGAAGCCTGGGAAACTGAGCATAACAGGGTGATCGTGTACTCGGGAGAGCTGAGGCCGTCGCCATATAACGTGGGGTCTGCCATCGCGCCCTCGTCGAGCTTGTAGGCCAGCACGGACACCGCCTGCGGATTGGGACACGGGGTTGGGCGGTGCGCAGCGAGAGGGGGTTGTAAATATGCGTGTGAGGATGGATTGGGAGTGGGTGTGGGTGTGGGTGTCGTGTGGGTGTCGGTGTGGGAGTGTGGGTGTGTGGGAGGTAGGGGTGTATGGGTGTGTGGTGTGGGTGGGTGTATGGGTGTCGTGTGGTGTGGGGTGTGGGTGTCGGTGTGGGGGAGTGTGGGTGGGGTGTCGATGTTTGTGTGTGGTGTTGAGGTGTACATGCATGTACGTCTGTGTTTTCGCATAGCTTTTTTGCACAGATATGGTTATGGTTTACTGCATTGCATGGGTTGTAGACAAATGTAAAGAAATGCAATGGAAGGTAAGAGAAGGTGGATTTATAAATTAGGATTATATATATATATATATATATATATATATATATATATATATATATATATATATATATATATATATATATATATATATATATATATATATATATTATATATATGCATGTGTGTGTGTATGTGTGTTCATATGTTCATGTATACATATACATATATGTGTCTGTGTGTCTGCCTCTTTGCATATAGGTGTGCGTGCGTTTGTTTGACGTGCTACACCTCACCTCGGGGGGCACGAGAGCGCTCTTGTCGGAAGCGAAACTCGAAATCGAATCCTTGGCCGTTTCTAAACTGTCTACCTTCCAACGGTAGAGCTGAAAATACGAGACAGAAAATCACCATTTCGGTTACTTTCATTAAAAGCATCAGCCAGATTTACAAAATGCAAACAATACTTGATTCCTAAGCATAGTAGAACCAGCATTATAAAAAGAAACTCATATGTCCTCCCATGACAAAGACATATAAGGAATCACAATCTACAATCAAAATCTCAAAAGGTTTCCAACCACAAGATCCTGGTCGCATTCGAGGTTTCCGGTGATGCTCGCGATGGCCGACGCAGTGGTGTTGAAGCTGACACCAATGGCGATGTTGGGAGTCGTGGCTGCCAACACCCCCGGGGCCACAGCACCTCGCAGACGGACCTCCACGGGGTAGTGGTCGCTAATGTCCTCAATCTACCGAAATATATGTTCCTGAGCCACCATTTTGGCAAGTATCTTTAAGAGCGCTTTATTTTCTTCTCAAACCTTGCTTAGAATGCGTTCATAATTATAACATTGTAATAATTATAATGTAATACTATAATGTTATAAGAATGTAATAATTATAACACTGGTAGACACGTTTCTTCCGAATTCATGGCACTTACCAGCGTCTGATCGGTGAGTCCGAGCTCCTCATCGAAGTAGTAGGGTTCAGCGGAGCCTGAGTACACGACGTTCTGTAGGCTGGATCCCGACACCACGATCCTATAAGAGAAGCCATTATATGTGTGTGTGTGTGTGTGTGTGTATGTATATGTATATGTATATATATATATATATATAGTAGATAGCTAGATAATAGATAGATAGATAGATAATAATAGCTGAAGGACCGCTATCCTCCAAGTGCGCAATTTTTTCATATCCTTTTACAAATGGCTTCTACAGCGTTCTGTGCTCTGTAATTTACACATTTTCATTGTAATTATTTGGCTCGACTATTTCTACAGGAAATGACGCCTTTGTTAGATTTCTAAAAAAAATCTAGATTTGGTAAGTTTCATTCATATATGCATTTGTATTTGAAAAAAAAAAAAGATTGTGTTTCTCGCAACACATTTAGATTCGCACCTTCTTAGCATATTTTGCAACTTTCGATCTTCTAAAAGGTAACCTGAAGTTGCTAAATTCATGCCCCAAATATATGAGGTGGTGTTGCCTCATAATAAATGCGATAGAAGAATCGTGAATTCATTATAAGGATTTTATTTAAGAAGAAGAAGAACAAAAGCATGCTGGACAAGGCATTTACCATGAACCGTTTTCATGTCAACAAAAGTAGAAAAGGGTTTGAATGTGAGACTGAATATCTTCACAATACATGACATGTATTTGACCAGTTTCGAAAATATCGTATGTCTGACGAGGATATATTCGAAACTGATCAAATACATTCATTTCACATTCATACCTTTTCTACATTTGCCAACATGAATACCGTTTATGCTAAATGCCTAGTCAAGCATTTTTTTTTTTTTTTTTTTTTTTTTTACATAAAATC